CTCAACATCATTAGTAGGGCCCTACCAAATTCACAGCTATGAAAAATGCATCGTGGACCATGAAATCTGGTCTCCCCCCATGAAATCTGGTCTTTTATGTGCCTTTACCCTGTACTATACAGGTTTCACGGGGGAGACGAGCGTTTCTCAGATTGGGGGTCCTGATTCAAAAGGGAGTTGGGGGGGGGGAGAAATCACAGTATTGCCACCCATACGTCTGCACTGCCTTCAGAGTTAGGCGGCCAGAGAGCAGTGGCTGTTGGCCGGGTACCCAGCTCTGAAGGCAGCGCCCCTGCCAGCAGCTCAGAAGAAAGGGTGGTAATACCTTACCATGCCACCCTTACTTTTGCGCTGCTGCATTGAGAGCTGGGAGGCCGGAGAGTGGCGGCTGCTGACTGAGGGCCCAGCTCTGAAGGCAGCAGCGCAGAAGGAAGGGTGGCAATACCACATCCCCCCTTTAAACAACCTTGTGACCCCCTACAACTCCTTTTTGGGTCAGGATCCCTACAATTACAACACTGAAATTTCAGATTTAAATAGCTGAAATCATGACATTTATTCTTTTTAAAATCCTATGACCGTGAAATTGACCAAAATGAACCGTAAATTTGGTGGGTCCCTAATCATTAGCACATCCACAGCCAGGATGTAAACAACCCTACTCAAAGATAAGTGGTGCCCAAGAGGCTCCACTAACCTTGACAAAGGTAACATACTGCCTACTGGACAAAACAGAGCAAAAAACCCCACAATAAGCTGGATTACTACAGAACCTTTCAAAAATCCAGTGCACAGATATCTTACTACAGCTGAATGTGCAAAACACAGTCAGATTCTTCCCCTACACGGAATCCATGGGTACAAACTGGAAATAAAAGCCAGGCCACAAAGGGCCCACAGGAAAGCTGAGGAGGAAAGAATTAGTAGCTCATATGTGGGACAAAAACTGACTATGAAAGACACTTTCTGCTTTGCAAAGAAGCTCTTGGAAAGATGCAGATGGTTCCTGATAAGAGGCAAGGAAGGGAAATGGTATGTGACTTGGGAAGAAAGAAAAGTATTGCAGAAACAGTCTCCTAATATGTGGTAGCTAGTACCAAATCTGAAATGGCCAGTGATACAAAACGGGCACATTAGAGGTGTGGGAAGGTTCCAGGATTGGTACTGTAGTTGTGGGGAGAAGGTCTTGTGATGAAGGCAGTGGATTGGGGCTCTTGAGATCTGGGTCCCCAGCTCTACCATGGATTCATGTGTGCCCTGCGTAAGTCACTTAATTTCAGTGCGCTTCAATTCTCTAGTTGGGGATAATAATCTATTTTGTCTGTTAAGACTGTAAGCTTTCAGGGGCGAAGACCGTCCCTTACTGTGTATGTCCAGGGCTTGAATTTATAGCCAGGATCTCTATGTGCTAACAATGAGTCTATATATTTTCAACAGCTTTTTTTTTTTTTTTTTTAAATTGCCTCCAGGAGACATTTGTGGGTCTGAAGCACACACCAGAAGGCCTGATTTATTATTTTGGCGGCATAAATGGTATCCCATACAAACACTGAGCTATTTGGCTCAGTCCAGTTCCCCAAGTTCAGGCCTACTCATGCCCGTTGTGAAAGCCAAACCTAGACACAGACACTGGATATACTGTAAAAACTCAATGCATCATTTGTCGTCATGCTGATAAAGTTATTGACACTGAGGCAGGAAAGAGCTATATGGTCTAGTGCATCGGTCAATTTATACTTGCCCAGGGCAGATTTCTGTTCGTGAGATGGGATCTGCCCATACCTATCCTTTAGAGGGATGTTGGGGGTTTAATATAAAGGCTGCCCCAATAAGCAGGTCCAAGGCAGTAAGAGAATGGTGAATGCTATTGTTTCAATTGCCTGGCATTGCGTCTAAAATGTCTTGGGCCAAATTCACTTCCTGATGTAAAAACCCCATCGATTACACTGATGTTACGGCAGGGATGAATTTGTCCCGATATTTACAGGCATCTAATAGTCTTTAGCCCACTAGTTCTGTGCAACTCTTCCCTGGGCAAATGCTTGATGTACTGTATTGTATCGACCTCTTGGCAGCTCTTGCCTAGATTGTCAGACCACTAAAGAATGGCTGGGCTGAACTGTTAAACAGGGAACAGTCTTGTACCGAGGTTTTTTAAAACTGTGGCAACACCCTCAGACACGTTCACGCTTTTTCACACCCTGCCTCTGCTCTGCTTCCAAAACTGCAGTCCCACCCCTTGATCTCTCTCACTCACTCACACACACACACCAAGGTCCAGATGCACTAAAACAGTGGTTCTCAAACTTTTGTACTGGTGACCCCTTTCACATAGCAAGCATGTGCGCGACCCCCCCCCCACTCCCGATATAAATTAAAAACACTTTTAAACATATTTAATGCCATTATAAATGCTGGAAGCAAAACGGGGTTGAGGGTGGAGGCTGACAGCTTGCGACCCCCCCAAGGAATAACCTCTTGACCCTCTGAGGGGTCCCGACCCCCAGTTTGAAAACCCCTGCACTAAAACGTCTGTGGAAAACCTGCAACAAGAGAAGACAGCCCACTGAGTGCAACTCACAACCAAATGCCCCCTTGCAAACAGCTGAGACCATTCAAGACCAGACGAAGCCCATCTGGAAAAGGACCAAGGGCCAAGGAGGAAAGCGTCACAGACATGAAACGCATGGACATGACTAGGTGGTGACTAAAGAAACAATAGAAATATAGATACAGGCTGTCTGCAAAAGTCAGACTTGACTGAATTCGTCCCAATGGAAAAGTCACGGGGCGGTGGCTATGCCTGGCGTGAGATCACAGGCCGTTGCCATGCTTTGAATTGTGTATCGGTGCAGAGGCAAAGCAGGTAGGGTACACAGCTGGCAGGCATGGGGTTCTATTCTTTCCTCTGTCACTGACTCGCTGCCTGGCCTTGGGCAAGTCATGCAGCTGCTGTTTTCCCACCTGGAAAACAGTGGTAATGATTCTTCCCCACCGCTGTAAAGAGGGATGAGCGCCTCATGGCACTACCAAAGGGAAAAATATAGCCCTTGACTCCCACACCAGCCCATCCCAATTAGTACTGTTGCACCGGGAGCCTGATCCTGGTAAAGCCAATGAGAGCTGGATCTAGCCCACAGCAATCTGTACTCTTATAGCAGCCCCTAAAAGCTCATGGTCTGCTAAGAGCCAATGCAAAGCACTACACAAGGGAAGCCATTTGCAGTGCACAGTAACAGCAAGTTTCACTAGGCCTACAAAGCCCAGAGCTACATGCTCTGGAGCACCATCTCCTGGCACCTCAGCTTGTAACTACCTATTGACCCATATATAGAAGTAGGGCACTCTCGTCACACAGCCTTTGGCCTAAATTTTCAACAATGTCTAGTGAATTTGGGGGCCTAAAAGGAGCCTGACTTTCACATGGGGGGCGCGCAACATTTCTGACAATCAGACCCCTCTACGGGGTCACAGGTTGGGCACCTGAAACCACCAATGGGTTTTGCAAATAAAGGTCTTTTCGAATAGCGGTGAAAGCAGCAGCCTCACTCCTCTGCAGAATGCCCAACAGAGAGCACTAAGCGGGCAGTGGAATGGACGTCACCGCTGGTCCCGTTGCAAACATCGTTAGTAGGAATTGGCTCATCCACGAGCCAGAGACCAGCCTGGGTTGGAGCATTACAAAAAAAAAAAAAAATCACACTAGAACAGATTGCTTACAGGAGGGTCTCCTTTGGAGAAACAGGTTGGGGTCACAGCCCGCTCCCATTGATCTAAAACAGCACAACTCCCAGTGGATCCAATGGCACCAGCATTTGGCCACTGGAATAGTGGTGGCCCACATTGCTGGTGGAAGCTCCATCCTTGTGATAGATTAGAAGATGGGCATGTCCTCTCACAGCGGTCTGGCACAGCGGCTGCCCCACCTCAGTGTGCAAACTCCATCCCCGCATACAATAATTCTAGGGCATCTGTGTTTATATTTTCTCTAAGCTGGTTTAATACCCCAGGCAGCCATTTGGGAGGCCAAAACAGCAAAGGAGCTGGGATTCTCCTGGCATGTCTGTATGGCCACCATAAGTAGTAAACCTGCAAAGAAGGCACCAGACTGGGAGTGAGGGTTCTGCCCCCAACTCGGCCACCGACATACAGTGCGACCTTGGGCAAGTCACTTCCTTGCCCTGGCCTCTGTTTTCCCAGGCGTAGAACAGAGAGAATGATACCTCCCCAGTTTGTGACACACTTTGAGATCTTTGGATGATAAATACTATCCATATACACAAACGGACATTGGCACCCCAGACTATTCACTCTCTCCCCGATGACATCGTTAAAATGCCCATCGCCATGATGGGCAGGTGCCTAGAGTTTAATATACAGGGCACAGTGGGCAGCCAGGTGGTGCTGGGGGAATTGTGTGATGATGTATACAATGGCCCTGGCTACCGTTGCCAGTGGCTATTTTAGCTTTGGCAGGAGCTGAGAACAGGAGGTGGTTTCTGATCCTCTGAATAACTGGTGGGGAGCCCCTCTTGGGGAGATGGCCACCCACAGCTCGAGAACCATTGCTCTCTGGGCAACTAGACAGCCCCAAAGACAGAAACGTTGTCCCCTTATCCCAGACCCAGGTGCACAGGGCTTGGAGTGCATGTAAGGTAAGGGCCATGGTGTTTCAATGTCCCTAATGTGGGGAAGACGGACCCAAGGTCTGACCAGTATTGCTGGCGACACGATTGGTGGTACATGCTCTTCTGGACCAAGCTTCCAGTCATGGCCCACTTCAACATAAGCACAGGCTGCCTCACTACCTCACCCCAGGAGCCTGCAAAATGTGTGACAGGGGCCTTCACTTCCCTGTACCCATCCCTGAAGGTCAGTTACACATGAAACATCTCCCTGGCCCTACTGACTCCCCCACATTATAGGCCCTCCAACCTCCTGCCCTTAGTAGGCCCCTTCCCGCTGGCCTACCTCTGCCTCAGGATCCTGGCTCCCCTTACCTGCCGTAGCAAGGCCTCTCCGTTGATGGCGCCCTGCTGCTGCTGGGCAATGGTGACCCCCAGCACCAGGGTGTGGATGCCGCAGGAGACGGCCGTGATGAGCACGATGGGCATGAGGCGCAGGGGCAAGGTGATGAAGAAGGAGAAGACGAAGAAGGCCTGCCAGCCCACTGTGTCACTGGCCTCGTGGAAGTGGGAAAAGTTGAGGCCCAGGTAGCAGAATATCTGGGCAGCGATGAGAATCCAGAGGACATAGGGCATGAACTTGCGGGAGATGCGGTCCGGCAGGAGCCCGTACTTGCATAGGATGAAGAGCAAGATATGGGCGGCCAGGCCCACTGAGGCCACCAGGATGGTGGCCAGCTTGTCGGTGGTGTAGACCACAGCGCACATGACGATGACATAGCAGTCGAAGAGGGCAGCGAAGACCACCAGCACCAAGAGGGTCTCATGGCGCTGCCGGCGGAAGTAAGTCTGGTAGAGGTTCTCCAGGGACTCGGGAGCGAAGGTGAGCCGCATGAAGCGCGGCAGGCAGAGGCATGAGCCTGAGTTCCTCACTGTCACCTCATGGGTCCGGCCCACCCCACGTTCAGGGTCGGAGGGTAGACTGACCGAGTAGTCAGCCGAGTACTCGGCCGAGTACTCCGGCTCAGAGAAGGCCCTGTTCCCGGGCATTCTGCCTGCCCTCTTTTCCCAGCCAACCCTTGGAGAACTGGCACCGTCTGCAGCCGACGGTTACGCCAAAGGAGCTCCAGCTCCCATTTACCTCAGGGCAAGCAACAGGCAAGGGCAAGGAGGCATCAGCAATGGCATCTCAGTTCTCCCCCTCAGACCCACGTCCTCCCCAACCCAGACGTTCCAGTCAGAAACCCAGGCTCCAAATGGGGAAGCGTGCCAGCTGCCTCCCCCTGCACTGAAGCCTTCAACTGGCTGCTCTGTAACACCTCGACCCTTCCCACTCACACCCCTTTCAAATGTCACCAAAAATAAAATTCAATTTAAAAACCAATTGGCTGGGCTCCAAACAAACAGAATCATGAGCTGCAACTAGCAACTCCAACTACCCAGCTTCCTCCAGTCGCTCCCCAGTCCCCGTGCTCTCGGGGGCTGCAATCAAAACAGAATCCAAAAAAAGACAAATGTCTCACTGCCTCCTTAGTAGAGAAGCCAGAATCTGGGGTCTCTCTCCCCCTTTCCCTCCCCAATTTTTCCCCCTTTGGTCTTCTCGGGACCGTTCGTCCCCAGCAACCATTTGCAAATTGAATGCCAGGATGATATTCCTCAGTGCACTAGGGTCTCAGGTCCCCAAATCGCACCTGCTCCCCCCTCCATGTGGGGGCAAAGGCATAAACAGCATTGGCCGGCCATTCCATGCACCCTGCAGGTCTTTGATTCTCATCCAGCTGTTAACGGGAAGGGAGGAAGATTTTGTTTGTATCCGGAGTTGCCAACAAGAAAAAAAAAGGGGTGAGGGGTGGGGAGGACAGTCAGCAGAAGAGGCACTGATCTGTCAACCCTGAAGGCTCCCAACTGTTGCTTTCAGCTCCCCCATCAATCCAGGCAGCCCGTTCCCTGGCCTTGTTCTGGAGAAGGCCAGCTCTCCCCCCTCACCATCTCAGTGCTGACAGGAGGGGATGTGGGGAAGAGCCTCTCGGCTTCTTTGGTTTGGGCCTTGTTGAAATTAAAGCAGGGCTGTGGGAAATGGTGGTCTCCTACCCTGGGAGAGTGACGGCGTGGGCAGATCCTGGAAGCCCCACGACGCTGCTAGCATTCCCTGCCAGTCACCAGGTTGCTCTGGCTTCTGTTTGCTCTTGGGCGAGCCCACGTCCTGCCTGGAGGAGAAGACGGATGGGTGGCAGAGTCCAAACTAAACAGACGTCTCTTTAAGAGCCGAGCGCCCCTCTCAGCCGAAAACCCCATTCGGAGTCCATACTCTGCCTCTGGATTCTCCGCTCATCCATCTTCAGCGTCCCTCTCCTTGCATCCTCCTCCTCCTTGCCCAGCAGCTGGTGTCTTGGGAGGCAGATGCCGTGTCTGTGTGTTTTTCCGTCTCTCTCTCTCTTCTCTGCTTTTTTGGTGAATTCCCTTCTTCCCCTTGGCACCCAACTGGGTGTCTTGTCGGAGCGGAGCGTGTGCGCAGAGGTGGGTGGGTGGGAATCTGTCAAGCACAGACACCCAGCAGAAAAATGATGGAGGAGGAGAGGGAATGGGCGTAGCTTAAAATTATTGAAGAGAAAATAAAATCAAACAAGTGCATGGCTCGGGAACACACGTGTGCAGCCTGCACGCACCCACCCACCCCGGGGCTCGGCTCCTGCGCTCTGCCGGGGACTCTCCCTTGCAAACAAAACCTGGAGTTAAACGCCTGGCGCTGGGGGGGGGGGGAAGAGGTGGTGGCGCTGGAAAGGAAAGTCAGGCTGCTCAGCGGATCACAACTTCGTTATGCAGGCTGGGGGTGGGCTGCTCATGACACTAAGGAAGAGGGCGGCGGGGATATTCCCCCTAGGTGTGCGGGGGGAGAAGCCCCTTCCCCCGGGGGCAGAGGGCGAGCAATCAACGCAGGAAGCTCGCTCCGCCCAGCTGGCGGGCCGGGCTCGCTGCTGCAGGACTGGGGGGCGGAGAAGCTGCTGCTGGAGGGACGAGGGGGCGGCTGCCGTTCCGTCTCAGCCGGGCAGGGGACCCCCGGGGCCGGGGGAGGGAGACGTTTGGGCGGCTGCACGCCCCGCTCCTTCGCAGCAGCCCCCTTTCCCCGCGGGGCTCGGGGAGCCTGGCGCGGCGGCGGCGGCGGCGTCCCCCGGCCCCGGGAAGCCCCCGGCCCCGCGTGCGGGGCAGCCGCAGCGAGCGCCCGGGACGGGGACGGGGACCGGGACCGGCCCCGGCGGCCGCAGCGAGCGAGCAGGGGCCGAGGGCCCAGCGCTGCGGCTTCAGACAGCGCCCCGCGGCTGAGCGGGGCCTGGGTCGCGGCGGGGGGTTGTTTGTGGGGGTGCCTGGGGGGCAGGCGGCAGCTTCAGGGGGGCTGTTCGGTGGCTAAGCTGGGTTTGCCTTGGGGGAGATGGGACAAGCTCAGTGGCTAGGGGAAGCTGGAGATAAAGGGGGGGCTGCTGGGTGGGGGGGGGCTTGGGGGAGCTGGGTTTGTAGGGGGACAATGAGGGCGGCTGGGGGGAAGCTGGGGGCAGATAGGTGGGGGGGCTGCTGGGTGCAGGTAGTTTAGGGGAGAAGCTGGATTGGAGGGGGCTGCTGGGTGGGGGGGCTTGGGGGAGCTGGGTTTGTAGGGATGGCAGGGGGACAATGAGGGCGGCTGGGGGGAAGCTGGGGGAAGACAGGTGGGGGGGCTGCTGGGTGCAGGTAGCTATGGGGAGAAGCTGGATTTGGGGGGGCTGCTGGGTGGGGGGGCTTGGGGGAGCTGGGTTTGTAGAGATGGCAGGGAGACAATGAGGGCGGCTGGGGGGGGAAGCTGGGGGAAGACAGGTGGGGGGGCTGCTGGGTGCAGGTAGCTTAGGGGAGAAGCTGGATTTGGGGGGGCTGCTGGGTGAGTGGGGCTTGGAGAGGGTGGGTTTGTAGGAATGGCAGGGGGACAATGAGGACAGCCGGCACAAAGGGCTGGAGAGGAAGCTGGGGGTAGATAGGTGTGTGGAGGTGGCTGGGGGGCTGCAGGGTGCAGGTCGTTGAGGGGAGAAGCTGGGTTTGTGGGGGTGGGGTGGAAGTAGAGAGGAGTGCCTAGGGGAGGGGAAGGCTAGGGCCACCCACTCTTCCATGCCCTCCTCTTTATCTCCGCTGTCTGTTGCCTTGGCTACTCTTCCCCCACCCTGATCCGTGGAGGGTACAGCCGGCTCAGCCAGCACCACAACCAACCCTGGCAGCCGTGAACTGCAGTGGCAGGCTGTGGCTGCAGCCCAGCTGCATGGGTGACGGTCTGTGCAGCAGGAGTGAGGGGGAAACAGGTGCAGGTGTGAGTGTCACCTGAGCTGCCTGACCCTGGGCAGGCCTGGGGCCTCTCCCTGTGACTCACTTAACCTCCCTGCCTCTGGTTCCCCATCTGTACAACAGATCAGTTGTGACTCTTGTCCTGGGCACAACAATGTGGAGGAACCACACGGGCACAGTGTGGTTCAAATAACTGCATTTACTTATTGTATACAACATGCAAAGCCTAGTTACATATACACACTACTGCCCTGGCTGGTTTCTAAACAGAGAACACAGTGAGCGCCATTAGGGGGCTCACATACTATTTAAAGAGATACTACCCAATTTTTACACCACAGTGCCTAATACTTACTTATTTCCTGGGGCATTGTGAGAGGTTTGCAAAGAGCTATGAAGAGAGAAAGCCCTACATTGTCATACCCACTCTCTGCCTCTCTCCACATAACCAATACTGTTTTCCAGATGCAGGATGCATCTTTGGAAGCTAGGGAGGATGTGAGAACATCTGGATGGCTGAGCTGCCAGCACATCCTCTCCTAGCAAGGAGATACTGATGCCGTTAGAGGTCTTGTACAGCACTTAAAAATGGGAGGAAAAAAATGCCAAACACCATGTGAATCAATACACTACTGAGACCAAAATCTCTGAGCCAAATTAATCTCTGGAGTAACACCAAGGATTAATTTCTGTGTTAGAAAACACACATTCATGCACAAGGCAAAATCAGCCAGTAGAATTCATTGCCACTAGAAACTAAGACCAAGAACTTAGCAGAATTTAGCACCAGACCTCTAAAAAGGCTTTCTGATGTGAAGTCAAATCTCCACCAGATTGAATTGTGTGCGTGCATGACACTCAAATTAACGCATGTGCAGCAGGGGAGCCCTTGGAGATATATTTTTAATAACTGTTTAAAATCTGAATTCAGTGCTGGTGAAAGATCCCAGCTTGACAGCCCTTGGGAGCTATTCATCAGGTACAACATGGACAGCACAAGTTCAAGCTACAGCCATTAATGTGATCCAAGTCCCCTAGCATTTTCTGAGTTCAGCACTTTTCAAGTTTTATTGCTATTTGCAAGAGCTCCTCCCAAAGGAACACCTTTATAAACCTAACAGTGATACAGCCTTTCTTCAAAGAAGGTACACAGTGCACAAACTGAGAATAAGAACTTAGAAGACTGTGTGTAACAGCACCATGTGGTGACTCCCATTCTAACACCATCCCCATTCTCAACTTGTTCCATCAACCACAACGGAGCTCAGAGTAACTTCATAAATCATCTGCAATGACAGCAAGAAAGGTACAAGTCCCAAACAGAAGAGAGAAAAAAATGAATAAAGGTTTAGCTATTTACCTATGTGTAACAGTTCAGGGCAACTGCATCTGTATTTCCCCTTAGTGATCCAGCAAAGGAACCTGCTCTGCATGTATCGCTCTCTCTTCTGACCAGGGTATCTCAAGGCTGAACAGTTTACTGTGTTATTCCCAGCAAAAGACAGATTGTCAAAGTAGACCTGCTTGCTTTCTCTCCAACTAATGTTGTAACTGCCCACATAGTCAAACTACCACATAGCTCTTTCTTGCAGCTTGTACTGCCTTTTTGAGCATGAGCTCACACTCACTCAAATATTGGTTAGCTCTTAACCAAAAATCCCCTTTTTTTGCGAATACAGACTAACACGGCTGTTCCTCTGACTATGCAAGCTTATTTATTCTTAAGGTAAAAGCATTGCAGAGAAAATGTATTAAAAACAATAAAAGAACCTAAACACATAATAAGTTAATCAGAGCTCTGATAAGCTAATAAGTTTATCAGAGATCACGCCAACTCCAACATGGGCTCTGGCAGGTGCCTTCAAACCCCATAAAGGAGTCTCCTCCTCTATGGTCACAAGTGCATAAAATAGCACTCATTAAAAGTTTAGTCCTGCCTTTCACAGATCAGGGGTCTTTGATCTGGAGGAGCAGGTAATCAGCAGACAATGGGTTTTTCTCCCCAGGGCATAGTTTCAAAAGGCCTCCCAAGTACCTCTTAGGAAACCCACTGCCCATGTATTGTCCCAAACAGTTGTTGAAGTTCCTAACATTTCCCCAAGGTTTTACATCAGCCAGTCTCTAAGAAAAGTTACATACAATTCTACTATAACACACAAACAATTGAATTTTTAATACAATGGACCCCAAAGATATGAAACTTCATTCAATCAAAAAAAAAAAAAGGAGTACTTGTGGCACCTTTGAGACTAACTAATTTATTTGGGCATAAGCTTTCGTGAGCTAAAACCCACTTCATCGGATGCATGCAGTGGAAGTAACAGTAGGGGGAAAAATTAGCAAGGGGAAATAGTTTTACTTTGTGTAATGACCCATCCACTCCCAATCTTTATTCAAGCCTAATTTAATGGTGTCCAGTTTGCAAATTAATTCCAATTCTGCAGTTTCTCATTGGAGTCTGTTTTTGAAGTTTTTTTGATGGAGAATTGCGACTTTTAGGTCTGAAATTGAGTGACCAGGGAGGTTGAAGTGTTCTCCGACTGGTTTTTGAATGTTATAATTCTTGACGTCTGATTTGTGTCCATTTATTCTTTTGCATAGAGACTTTCCGCTTTGACCAGTGTACATGGCAGAGGGGCATTGCTGGCACATATCACATTGGTAGACGTGCAGGTGAACGAGCCTCTGACAGTGTGGCTGATGTGATTAGGTCCTATTAGGTGTGGACAGAGTTGGCAACGGGCTTTGTAAAAACTATTTCCCCATGCTAATTTTCCCCCTTCTGTTACTCACACCTTCTTGTCAACTGTTTGCAATGGGCCATCCTGATTATCACTACACAAGTTTTTTTCTCCTGCTGATAATAGTCCACCTTAATTGATTGGTCTCGTTACAGTGTGTATGGCAACACCCATTTTTTCATGTTCTCTGTGTATATATCTCTTCTTCCTGTATTTTCCTCTGCATGCATCCGATGAATCATAGAATCATAGAATCATAGAATATCAGGGTTGGAAGGGACCCCGAAGGTCATCTAGTCCAGCCCCCTCCTCGAAGCAGGACCAATTCCCAGTTAAATCATCCCAGCCAGGGCTTTGTCAAGCCTGACCTTAAAAACCTCTAAGGAAGGAGATTCTACCACCTCCCTAGGTAATGCATTCCAGTGTTTCACCACCCTCTTAGTGAAAAAGTTTTTCCTAATATCCAATCTAAACCTCCCCCACTGCAACTTAAGACCATTACTCCTCATTCTGTCATCTGCTACCATTGAGAACAGTCTAGAGCCATCCTCTTTGGAACCCCCTTTCAGGTAGTTGAAAGCAGCTATCAAATCCCCCCTCATTCTTCTCTTCTGTAGGCTAAACAATCCCAGCTCCCTCAGCCTCTCCTCATAAGTCATGTGTTCTAGACCCCTAATCATTTTTGTTGCCCTTCGCTGGACTCTCTCCAATTTATCCACATCCTTCTTGTAGTGTGGGGCCCAAAACTGGACACAGTACTCCAGATGAGGCCTCACC